GGGGGGGGACGGGACGTTTCCTGCCTTGGAAACGCAGGAGGCGTCGCTTGCTGCTTCACCCAGCCGCTTGCCCAGCCCAGGTCAGTGCCCCCCTCGCCATCACCTCCCCGCGCTCTCCTCACCATCACCCCCACGAGTCCCCCTGCGCCATCACCTCCCTCCCCCAGCGCCCCCTCCTCATCATCACCTCCCCCCTGAACCCCACCACACCTTCCTCACCACCTCCCCCCACCCTGAGCCCCACTGCGCCCCCCTCGCCATCACCGTCCTCAACCCTGAGCCCCAGCGCACCCCCTCGCCATGTCCTCCTCTCCATCACCTCTCCCCCTACCCATCCCAAGCCTCCCCTGCACCCTCCGCACCATCATCTCTCCCACCTGTACCCCTCCCGCACCTCATGCCACCCTGAACCACATCTACCCCTCCCCCACCACGTCCCCCCAACCTGAACCACATGTCCCTCTCTCCATGGTTTAACCAGGTACTTGAGCAATATCTTTGGTGTTTCATGAACTACCACCAAGATGACTGTGTTTCCCTCCATCCCCATGTGGAATTTGCATATAATAAGGCCACCCTCCACCTCTCAAGGCTCTTTTTCCTCCAACTACAGATTTCACCCTTGGTTTCACCCAGACATCCTCACGGGATCTCTGGTACCTGCTGTTGCAGACTTCACTGCCCACCTCTACCAAGTACATCTAAAACTGAAGGAGCAGCTAGAATCTGCCAAGGATGTGTACAAGCATCACACTGATCAGGGCTGCCAAGCCATCCCCGATCTTGTCATTGGGGACAAGGTTTGGCTGTCCATTCAGAATCTAAGGTCAGCTTGCCCATTGGCTAAGTTAGACCACCAATATCTGAGCCCAGTTACAATTCTAGAACGGATCAACGTGGTGGCATTCAAGTTGCAATTACCAATATTCCTCGGTATCCACCCTGTTTCATGTCTCTGTCCTGAAGCCCTGCACATAGAACCTGTTCCCTTCCTGCTCAACTCTGCTGCCCTGGCTATCAACGTCCAGGGACAAGAAGAGTACTTGGTTTGACAGTTCCTGCACTCTCAACTCTTTAGAAAGAAGCTCCTGTACTTAGTAGACTGGGAAGTTTATGGCCCTGATGAATGATCCTGTGAACCATTGGAAACTATCCACACCACAGATCTGCTGCAAGATTTTCACCAAACTTACCCTGTGAAACCAGGCCCTGGGGCACCTAGGAGGCTCAAAGTGGTGGTACAGTCTGGAACTAGGGCCTGCACAACCACCTGATTGGCTAAGGCAGTCAGGTGGCTTGCTCTTAAGCCCAGCAGCTGTTCTATGCATATGCCTGTGGATTCTCTGCCCTGCTAGGCTTGCTTTGCTCCAAGCCCTACTCATGATTACTCCTGCACTGTTTCTGCCTAGATGCCGCTCTAGTCATCTCCTAGCCTTGCTCCTGCCTTCAGGTAAGCCCTGGTTCCTGACCTTTAGCCCTGGTTCGTGGCTCCAGCTGTGTCAACTCTTGGCTCTGGCATTTGGACTCTGACATTGCACAGAGTACAATCTGGACTGATGGACAGCTATGTCTCCTCAATTCTCTAACCTGGGGTGCTTTTTACACTGCTTTGCTGTGAGAGCAACCACTTCTGGTCTGTTCACACGTGGCCTCCGACATGTAAATCATTCCCAGCTATGCTGTAGGAGTGCTATAGCCAACCACTCATGAATTACATTACAGGGCAACACTAGCAAACTCCTAGTCACAGACTCTTCCCCAGAAAAGTTCATCTTGTACTGCCCAGCACCCTCCTGGATAATACAAGCTCATATAAAGTGTGTCGTTTATTAATAGAAAATGATATGAACAAATCCTGTTATCTCAAATGGAGTTTCCCAAACACACTGCTTTAGATAAAACAACCAACCCAGTGTATTAACTACAGAAAGATAGATTTTAAGTGACTGCAAGTGATGAGGCATATAAATCAGAATAGATTACAAAGAAATAAAAAAAGGTAAAATGCAACTGACACCTAATTTAACAAGCTAAGTGAATGCAAAGCAAAGATCTCTCTCACCACATGTTCCAGCTGTCTTGCCGGCTGAACCTCTTTCAGTCAGGATCTTCCCTCCCTCCTCCGCCCCCACCCCCTTTGTTCTTCGGGTGTTGATGATGCTGTGAGTAGAGAGCAAGGGAGAGATGATTTGGGGCATCTGCCCACTCCTCTTATATCCCATTCTCTTGCGCAAGTATCATCAGCTGATGTTCAGGAGACAGAAAGTGGGCGTGGACAGGAATGATGATGCTTTGTCAAAATGTAGATCTTTTGCCCACATCCTATCTCCTGCCCAAGAGTGGCCACTTAATCAGCTGATGGTCCCTTTGGTCCCATTGACACCTGGCTGAGACCTCGGCTAGCCTTTTGTGTCTGGAAACTTGTTTGTGACTGCCCTCTGGAACATGTCCACAGATGTGGAACAGGGCTTTGATAAACTGTTACCTGGGATGTGCTGGTAGGAGAAAAAGAACACTAGGACAAATTTGTAGAAATATCTGTTGGAAGGGCTCACTGAAGAATTTGTCCTATTACTTCCATACACTGCAAGGAAACTCATGTTGACTTATTTGAATGAGACTCTGCTCTAAATCCTCTGGCTTGTTTTGGTCCTGTCACAATTTTGTGTGGTTCCATCTAATTAGTTCTTATGGTAAAGTGACTGTCAACTTATACACATTTCCCAGACTTGAAGAAGAATTCTGAGTAAGCTTGAAATAGATGTTGGTCCAATAAAATATATTATCTTGTCTCTCTAATATCCTGGGACTAACACACCTACAACACTGCATATAACAGAAACCGTGACTGAACTTCAAGTGTATTCTTTCAGTAACTGCTTAATTGATCTGGGTTTATTTTACATGAACGAGTAACCCAGCTTGGGCTTGACTAAAAGCATCATAAGGTTATTGAAGTGTTAACTATATTATGTACCCTGTATGAAGGATATAAAAATGCTGATCCATTGTAATTAGTACACACACATCCACACTGCTTTTAAACATTTAGAATTATCATTCTTCAAAAGCTTGGACTTGTGAAAAGTATACATTAGTTAATAAATAGCCATTTTTGAGCCAAAAGGCAGAGGTATGACTCGATTATGTGTATGCGTGGTTGGTTTTGTTTGTTTGTTTTTTGTTTTAAGGCTTTTGTAGAGAGCTCAAAAATACTGGTAACATTTTTCAATAAACTTTTATGATTACAAAAGTGTGAACGTAAATGTATTCATGTTCCACAAACATTTGACTGATAAAGCTTTACTAATATGAACAGTTACTGAAAGTGAATTTCAAAGTCAGTATGCTCATACACAGAAACTGAATTTTAAATTTGTATGCAGGCTCATCCAGTCAGACCAGAAACAATACCATGAAATGTATTTTGCTAAGCATAAGTAAATAGTACAGTTCAAATAGGGCCTGATCTAAAGCCTATTAAACTTAATAGAAAGACTCCAGTTGATTTCAATGGCTTTTAGATCAGGCCCAGAGTGAATAGCAAATACTTACAGAAATTATTCACAATCAATCTAGGGTTTTAAAAGAAACTGCAAAAATATTTCTCAAATACTGTTAGACAACAACTACATTAGAAACAAGCTGCTCATGGATATTCTGAGTAAAAAATAAACTTTCTGAATTAATTATTTGTTGCTTATTTTTCATACAGTTTTCTGCGGAAACTGATCTTCCCACGGCATTTCTATCCCTGGCGGAAATGCTGTGAGAGAGTCTCTTTATATCCATAAATGATTTCCCAGGGGAAAGTAAAAAGCATATGGGTAATATAAATATGGAGGTACACCTCTACCTCGATATAACGCTGTCCTCGGGAGCCAAAAAATCTTACTGCATTATAGGTGAAACCGTGTTATATTGAACTTGCTTTGATTGCGGAGTGCGCAGCCCTGCCCCCCCAGAGCACTGCTTTACCGTGTTATATCCAAATTTGTGTTATATCAGGTGGCGTTATATTGAGGTAGCGGTGTATTTGCCTTTATTTGGTCTTATTCCAATGCTGTTTCTATTACTATTTACTTTCCAGTAGTGCCTAGAAGCCCCAGTTGACGTCAGGGCCCCATTTTGCAAGGTGCAGTACATAAACAT